TTTTGGTTTCGATCAAAGTAGGCTGTTTTCAAAAAAAATATCGATTTTATACCTATATTAGCATTCTTTATCATTTATCATACCTAGATATGTTTTAAAATGCAATTTAAAGCATTTTTGGTTTCGATCATAGTAGGCTGTTTTCAAAAAAAAATATCGATTTTATATCTTTATTAGCATTCTTTATCATTTATCATACCTAGATATGTTTTAAAATGCAATTTAAAGCATTTTTGGTTTCGATCATAGTAGGCTGTTTTCAAAAAAAATATCGATTTTATATCTATATTAGCATTCTTTATCATTTATCATACCTAGATATGTTTTAAAATGCAATTTAATGCATTTTTGGTTTCGATCATAGTAGGCTGTTTTCAAAAAAAATATCGATTTTATATCTATATTAGCATTCGTTATCATTCATCATACCTAGATATGTTTTAAAACGCAATTTAAAGCATTTTTGGTTTCGATCAAAGTAGGCTGTTTTCAAAAAAAATATCGATTTTATACCTATATTAGCATTCTTTATCATTTATCATACCTAGATATGTTTTAAAATGCAATTTAAAGCATTTTTGGTTTCGATCATAGTAGGCTGTTTTCAAAAAAAATATCGATTTTATATCTATATTAGCATTCGTTATCATTTATCATACCTAGATATGTTTTAAAATGCAATTTAATGCATTTTTGGTTTCGATCATAGTAGGCTGTTTTCAAAAAAAATATCGATTTTATACCTATATTAGCATTCTTTATCATTTATCATACCTAGATATGTTTTAAAATGCAATTTAAAGCATTTTTGGTTTCGATCATAGTAGGCTGTTTTCAAAAAAAATATCGATTTTATATCTATATTAGCATTCGTTATCATTTATCATACCTAGATATGTTTTAAAATGCAATTTAATGCATTTTTGGTTTCGATCATAGTAGGCTGTTTTCAAAAAAAATATCGATTTTATATCTATATTAGCATTCGTTATCATTCATCATACCTAGATATGTTTTAAAACGCAATTTAAAGCATTTTTGGTTTCGATCAAAGTAGGCTGTTTTCAAAAAAAATATCGATTTTATACCTATATTAGCATTCTTTATCATTTATCATACCTAGATATGTTTTAAAATGCAATTTAAAGCATTTTTGGTTTCGATCATAGTAGGCTGTTTTCAAAAAAAATATCGATTTTATATCTATATTAGCATTCGTTATCATTTATCATACCTAGATATGTTTTAAAATGCAATTTAAAGCATTTTTGGTTTCGATCATAGTAGGCTGTTTTCAAAAAAAATATCGATTTTATATCTATATTAGCATTCGTTATCATTTATCATACCTAGATATGTTTTAAAATGCAATTTAAAGCATTTTTGGTTTCGATCATAGTAGGCTGTTTTCAAAAAAAATATCGATTTTATATCTATATTAGCATTCTTTATCATTTATCATACCTAGATATGTTTTAAAATGCAATTTAAAGCATTTTTGGTTTCGATCATCGTAGGCTATTTTCAAAAAAATTTCGATTTTATATCTATATTAGCATTCTTTATCATTTATCATACCTAGATATGTTTTAAAATGCAATTTAAAGCATTTTTGGTTTCGATCAAAGTAGGCTGTTTTCAAAAAAAATATCGATTTTATACCTATATTAGCATTCTTTATCATTTATCATACCTAGATATGTTTTAAAATGCAATTTAAAGCATTTTTGGTTTCGATCATCGTAGGCTATTTTCAAAAAAATTTCGATTTTATATCTATATTAGCATTCTTTATCATTTATCATACCTAGATATGTTTTAAAATGCAATTTAAAGCATTTTTGGTTTCGATCATAGTAGGCTGTTTTCAAAAAAAATATCGATTTTATATCTATATTAGCATTCTTTATCATTTATCATACCTAGATATGTTTTAAAATGCAATTTAAAGCATTTTTGGTTTCGATCATAGTAGGCTGTTTTCAAAAAAAATATCGATTTTATATCTATATTAGCATTCGTTATCATTTATCATACCTAGATATGTTTTAAAATGCAATTTAAAGCATTTTTGGTTTCGATCATCGTAGGCTATTTTCAAAAAAATTTCGATTTTATATCTATATTAGCATTCTTTATCATTTATCATACCTAGATATGTTTTAAAATGCAATTTAAAGCATTTTTGGTTTCGATCAAAGTAGGCTGTTTTCAAAAAAAATATCGATTTTATATCTATATTAGCATTCGTTATCATTCATCATACCTAGATATGTTTTAAAACGCAATTTAAAGCATTTTTGGTTTCGATCATAGTAGGCTGTTTTCAAAAAAAATATCGATTTTATATCTATATTAGCATTCTTTATCATTTATCATACCTAGATATGTTTTAAAATGCAATTTAAAGCATTTTTGGTTTCGATCAAAGTAGGCTGTTTTCAAAAAAAAATATCGATTTGATATCTATATTAGCATTCGTTATCATTCATCATACCTAGATATGTTTTAAAATGCAATTTAAAGCATTTTTGGTTTCGATCATAGTAGGCTATTTTCAAAAATAATATCGATTTTATATCTATATTAGCATTCTTTATCATTTATCATACCTAGATATGTTTTAAAATGCAATTTAAAGCACTTTTGGTTTCGATCAAAGTAGGCTGTTTTCAAAAAAAATATCGATTTTATATCTTTATTAGCATTCTTTATCATTCATCATACCTAGATATGTTTTAAAATGCAATTTATAGCATTTTTGGTTTCGATCAAAGTAGGCTGTTTTCAAAAAAAATATCGATTTTATATCTATACTAGCATTCTTTATCATTTATCATACCTAGATATGTTTTAAAATGCAATTTAAAGCATTTTTGGTTTCGATCAAAGTAGGCTGTTTTCAAAAATAATATCGATTTTATATCTATATTAGCTTTCTTTATCATTTATCATACCTAGATATGTTTTAGAATGCAATTTATACCATTTTTAGTTTCGATCAAAGTAGGCTGTTTTCAAAAAAAAAATATCGATTTTATATCTATATTAGCATTCTTTATCATTTATCATACCTAGATATGTTTTAAAATGCAATTTAAAGCATTTTTGGTTTCGATCATAGTAGGCTGTTTTCAAAAAAAATATCGATTTTATATCTATATTAGCATTCTTTATCATTTATCATACCTAGATATGTTTTAAAATGCAATTTAAAGCATTTTTGGTTTCGATCATAGTAGGCTGTTTTCAAAAAAAATATCGATTTTATATCTATATTAGCATTCTTTATCATTTATCATACCTAGATATGTTTTAAAATGCAATTTAAAGCATTTTTGGTTTCGATCAAAGTAGGCTGTTTTCAAAAAAAAAATATCGATTTTATATCTATATTAGCATTCTTTATCATTTATCATACCTAGATATGTTTTAAAATGCAATTTAAAGCATTTTTGGTTTCGATCATAGTAGGCTGTTTTCAAAAAAAATATCGATTTTATATCTATATTAGCATTCTTTATCATTTATCATACCTAGATATGTTTTAAAATGCAATTTAAAGCATTTTTGGTTTCGATCAAAGTAGGCTGTTTTCAAAAAAAAATATCGATTTGATATCTATATTAGCATTCGTTATCATTCATCATACCTAGATATGTTTTAAAATGCAATTTAAAGCATTTTTGGTTTCGATCATAGTAGGCTATTTTCAAAAATAATATCGATTTTATATCTATATTAGCATTCTTTATCATTTATCATACCTAGATATGTTTTAAAATGCAATTTAAAGCATTTTTGGTTTCGATCATAGTAGGCTGTTTTCAAAAAAAATATCGATTTTATATCTATATTAGCATTCTTTATCATTTATCATACCTAGTTGTGTATGATATTGTGTATATATGTTTTAAAATGCAATAAAAACGTTAAAAAAACTTTTTAAAAAACACACTTTTATCAAAAAGACTAAAAACCAAAAATTTCAAAATAAAATAAGATCACACTTTTAGCAAATCAGGATTTTAAAAGTTTTCTTGTGACAACAAGAAATGTAACATGAATTTTTTTCAAAATATTGTGATTAAGTCCAAGAACACAATGACTCCAAAAGTGTGGGGGCTTTGAGATTTGACGCTTCTCTTACTTAAGAACTTAGTTGAACTTAGAATTTCATCCTTAAATTACGCCCAACGCTTTTAGAGTCATTGTGTTCTTGGACTTAATCACAATATTTTGAAAAAAATTCATGTTACATTTCTTGTTGTCACAAGAAAATTTTTAAAATCCTGATTCGCTAAAAGTGTGATCTTATTTTATTTTGAAATTTTTGGTTTTTAGTCTTTTTGATAAAAGCGTGTTTTTTAAAAAGTTTTTTTTGTTTGTTATTTTCATCAATTTTAAACTTTAAGTTTTACTTGTTTTTGTCACTTTTTAACTGTTACTTCTTGATAATTTTATTCAATTGGCTACTTTTAAGTGTTTTTAATATGTTTTTGGTTAAATATATTAATAATAATTATAATTCTTGCAGATCAACCTACGCTGCACTTTTGGAGCTTGGCATCCGTTGGCAACTGAAAAATTATTTGCGCTCAGCATGAACGTTGCAGACGACTTTACAGTCTTTCAAAAAGGAATATTAAGGATTCACAATGTAGAATGAATTCAAATTTCAGTTATTGAGGGATCCTCGGTTTTAATAATTTCAATTTGAGTATATTTAAAGCTTTTCGATTGCCACCTGTGTTTGTTCTATCCAGATGTTCAGCTGTTGCTATAAATAAATGTATCAATGTGTAAAACTAATAGTCTAATGAATAGAATCTGTAATGCAAAAATTCAATAAATTAATCAATAGAAAATTGACTGCTTTTGTTTTATTATCGTAAATTTATTTATTTCTTAATCAGTGATTTGTTTAATATTATACTTTAATTAACTTCTTACAGCTGAACAAAAAGCAGATTCTGAATATAAAAAAGGAAGGAATAATAAAAAAAAATCATTTGGAAAGTTAAACAAAATTCTTTCAATGATATCATTAAGAAAGAAGAAACAAAAGCAGAAATGAATAACTGGAATAGTCTATAATCATATGAAACGTCCCAACATTACTAGCAACTCACTTTTATCATTTATAAAATTGTCCATCGACAATTTTTTTACTCATTAAAGTTGAAACTTGTTTTTTTAATTAATTAAGTAGAAAAGAACTTACAATAATGTGTGGATGAACTAATAAGAACAAAAAGCGTGAATAGATTATTCATAATTTAACTAAATCAGCATAAATCAATTAAAAATTAATAGAGTATAGAATTGATGGGAAATAATAATATTCCATAACTTTTTATTCTCTCGAGAAGCAGAAGATTGCAGTTTATTGAACTTTTTACAAATCCTCGTCGTCTTCGGGCAGTGCAGTCTTTTGTGCTTCCTCCATTTCCCTTTCCAATTGATCTTGCCATGCCTTGTCCATCTTAACTTCTGGTGGAAGTAAAGCGGGCATTGCAACAAACTCCAAATTGGGATCACCAACCAATTTTCTTGCGAGCCACAAGAAGGGCTTCTCAAAATTGTAATTTGACTTTGCAGAAATATCGTAGTACTGTAAATTCTTCTTTCTGTGGAAAACGATGCTCTTTGCTTTCACTTTACGGTCTTTAATGTCAACTTTGTTTCCACATAATACAATTGGAATATTTTCACACACACGAACCAAGTCACGATGCCAATTTGGTACATTTTTGTAAGTGATACGGGATGTTACGTCAAACATGATAACTGCGCATTGTCCTTGAATGTAGTATCCGTCTCGAAGACCACCAAACTTTTCTTGTCCAGCTGTATCCTATAGATATTAAGTTGTGCATTAGCATATATGCATTTAAAAACCGTTAAATTATTGAACTTACCCAAACATTAAAACGAATGGCACCACGATTTGTGTGAAAAACTAGTGGATGTACTTCAACACCGAGAGTAGCAACGTATTTTTTCTCAAATTCTCCAGTCATATGACGTTTTACGAATGTAGTCTTTCCAGTACCGCCATCACCGACCAAAACACATTTGAATGTTGGAATATCTTGTTCCGCTGCCATTGTACTATTTGGGCTTTAAATTATTCTGTGAAAAGGGAAACAATACTTATTATTGTAATTTGAAATGATGCTTTATAGATGAAAATAGAACTTTCTCGACAGTTGATTGACGTCATAGCCTTGACATTTGTTAAGGTCTTGGATTCTTATCAAGATAATGTCCCAAAATAGGCAAAATTTAATTGAATTCTTTAAGTTTCTAGTTGGCATAAATTTTGTCTCCATTTTCTTGAGAATTGAGTGAATGATTCACCAAGCCAATTAATTATTTCGAGATATATAGCAATAGATAATAAATCTGCTGCTTAAAAATGATCTAAAGTGTTTTGGCTATAATAAATGACGACTTTACCGGCACAGTTTACGATATTTGAAGGAATTTAACATGAAATTTGACCGCGTTTTTGATAATTTGCGAATCTCGACCTTAAAATGAAAATCCAGCTTGTCTAATATCAAAGGCTAGGAATATTTAATTGAATTTATTGACGAAACCAACACAAATTTCTACAGACTAAATGGTGATTCCAATCAACTATATCGAGATTACTCTAATCACACTTATTTAACTATTTAATTACACTCACTTTAAACAATATTTAATAATTTTTATAAATTATATGTAAGCGTGTTTTTTCGCTCGCAAATGTAAGACAGGAAAAGTCCACAATTCAAATTTTAAATGACAGTTTGTTTCCCGCATTTTTTGGACAATCCATGTTCGATGATGTGCTTTAAAAAATTGCTTTAAAATTGAATTTAAGTGAATAATATTGATAGTTTCTTATGAAAATTGATATTTAAAGCTTTTAATTTATATTATACTCTTGGAAGTATAGGATTTTTGAGAAAAAAGCAAGAATCAGGCTGTCAACATACAAAATTAACCTTTTCAAGGTCGATATTTCCCATGAATCAGTTCAAAAACTTTGCTGAATAAAAATTCAAACTTCAAAAAATCGTTAAAAAATTTTTCAATGATATACTTCATTTATGATCGACCCTATATGAGCAAATAATTGCAAATTATGACATCAAAAAACCTGAAATATTAGAGGATATGTTGAATACAGATTTACAAAAAATTTAAAATTAATAATATACATATTATGACAGAGGAGGGAGGCAGGAAATTTGTGACATCCGATTATTTATTAAGGAAATCAAAACTTATTGTAACACTCAAAAATGAGTTCCTGGTTCAAATAAATAATGATGTTCAATGGATGCAAATTAAGGATTCGGAAGCTTAAGAAATTAAATCAAATTTAAGAAACTTGCAATTTGATAAGAATGCAGACTTCGAATCTGGAAGAGAAATGAATAAAACTTGACAATCAGGGGGGGGGGGGGGGGTTATAACGGAAGTCATAAATAAATTCTGGAATATGCTGAAAAAAATTAAGAAGTTGCGAAAAATCAAACCAAGAACTTTATTTTTCATTCAATATAATTTTATTTCACTTGTTTCTGTTTTTTTTTTTTTAAATTTTGAACATGACATTTGTCTTTTATAATATATATTCTTGTAGCGAAAAATAAAGTTGATTTCACATTTTTCTTCTTATTATTTTTTCTTACATAATTTTTTTTTTACTTTTTTAAGTGAAAGAAATTTGATTTTTCCAATGCAAATTAACTAAGACGTGATGCTTAATGTACCCGCAAAATAAAACAAAAAACTTCATTTTTTTTCTTCAACAAATTACTCGTTTTATTAATTTTCCATCATTTTTTTTTATATTCCTTAAACGTTCTTCATTTTTAAAATGTTTTAGTGGAATTTTTTTTTCTTATTTTTATTGTTATTTTTTCAAAGTAGAGAATTGACATGAATGTTATATAAATGGTAAAATTAATGGCCCTAATCAGCTAAATTTTGAAAGAAAATGAACATTTCCTCGTCTCATCTAAACCTTTAGCCATTTTCATCATTTTTTTTTTAAATTTATTTTAGTAGGTTTTTTTTTTCATTAAATTGTAAACTTTAAACTTTAATGAATATAGTTTTTCCTTTAAATATTAGAACTTTTCATTCACTTACCAAGAACTGAAAATAATAACTTTCTACATTTGTTTCTTTATATTCAAACACTTTAACGATCTCCATTTGACTATCATAACCGTCATGTGCAAATTATTATTACTAGCAGTGGACGTAACTCGATAGAATTGAGATTTCAAATTTTAACAGTTTAAAAGTTTAAAATTCACAATTTTTTAAACTTGTTAAAGTCGTTAAATTTTTCAAAAATCCCAAATCAATTGAAAATCCATCCACAAAAGCATTTTTACAAAAGGACAAAAAGTTTTAAAAAGAACGAAAAACATTGTCGATGATAAATAAAATATTCTATAATTCAATAATTATTGTATAGTTTTCATTCATAACAAACATAAAGCATTATCATTATCAATATTGAATATGCTAAATTTAATAATTTTTTATATATTCAGTAAATTAAACTAAATCGATTGAAAATTTACAATTATTATTGCATGAAAGCAAAAAACGATGTTTTTAATAATTTTTTTTTTTATTTAAAGATATATGCAAAGATATAAATGGTGTTTTATCATGATGAATGAGAATAGTTTTTATTGATGACCCATAGAGATGCTTTCTTTTTTTAAATGCTTGGTTGTTGTTATTGTTGTTGAGAGCAATTATAGATGAATTAGATGATAAACAATTTCTTTTTCATATAGTTGACCTATAATCACTCAATACTTAAAGAAGGAAAAAATATTGTGATTAATAGCTTTTGAGATCTTAATCTGTGATATTTTAAGGACAATTTAATTTGAAGCTAGGAAGTTTAGATTTTGCATCAAATGCTTATTTAAAAACATTTTGCAGAATTTGAGATTTTTATAAAGATTCAAACTTAATCTTAGAAACTCTTATCATTACTTGAAAATTAATTTTTTTTCCTATTCATAAAGATTTAACAATCTCATTGTGAAGTTCTAGTAGTTTTTCAAAAAGCTAATAATCACAAAAATTAATCCATCATTATCAACATCATTTTTTTCTTTCTTTTTCTTCTTTATTTGTAAAGTTAATTAAAATGTATTCTTCATTAGCTACGTTAATAATAGAATTTTTTAATGAATTTTAATGCAAGTTTGAGTTCAAATTTATTTTAATTACCTCATTGTGTGTTTTTTGTTCTTGTTCTTTTTTTAAAAATCTATTAGAAGATCTATAATTTTCTTTTTATTATGTGTCTGCGTGTAATCGGTATGTTATGTATGTACTTGAGTCAAGAGGACTTTTTTAATTATTTTAATTTTATCCCTTTTAATGTCACTGCTACAATTTTTCTGTGTGATTTTTAATTAATTTTTGTTTTCTTTTTTGTTTAATTTTAGGATGTTCTTGACTAATTATCACTTCTTAAACATTTAAAAGTTTTTTAATCTTATTCTTTTATTATTATTTTTTTTTTGTTTAAAAGATATGCTGAAAAGAATGGCCACGTACGTACATTTTTAAACTTTCTTATTGCTGCTGATTAATGCTTAATTCCTTTCTTCATCTTCATTCGCAATGGACAATTATTTTTCTATAACTTTCATCATTTGAATGTCCTAAATATTGTATTTAAGTGTATAATTATATATTGCTGCTTCCTACATGCTTGAGGAGTCCATTGTTTCACTCTCGTTGTATTCATCAAATTTTTATTTATTATTCATTTTTCATTTGTCTTTAAAAGCACGAAAAGATTTCCTCAATTACTCTTATTGTTTCCGCTATTTTTCAAAAAATTGTGAAAGATTTTAAGAATTTTTTACAACTTGATTTCATTTGATATGGATTCAGGTGTTAATGTATTGTGTATTTTTTTTGTCATTTCTTTAAGAGTTAAGTTTTTGAAAATTATTGAAGAAATCTCGAATGAAAATTTCATACTACAGAGCTAAGTGAGAATAACTAAATTATAAATGCTGCTTTTGCCGGCTATTCTTAATTTAATATAGATTGAACTGAACTTCAAAGAAATTTGATCGGAAGAAACTTGCATTTATGAATCATTCCGTTTAAATATCTCAGATCTCTCTAGAAATAGCCATTAAAATCAAAAAGCATATACAACCACAAAGAATACTCAAAGCTTTTAACCTTTTTAACTCATCACGTTTCCATAGCAACGAAAGAACTAATATTTAAGATCCAATCTTATTTTAATAATTTAATAATAAATTACATGAAAAATGGATGGAAAAATTGGAAGTGGATAAGAATAAATTCATGAAAAATGGATGAGAAAATTTCAAATTATGAAAAGTTATTAATAATGATGAATCATGAAGTTTTCATTCTACGTTCTTCTTCTTAATTACATGTTTTTATGTCTTGAAATCAATGAATTTAACGTAGGAGTTGATGAATGTCTGTTTCAGAAGCTCTTATTTATGAACTTAGTTTATTGAGCTCTGATTATTCGTTTAACTTCTATACCAAAGCTTGGAAGCTGTTTTCCTTCATAAATCTTTTGCGCAATTTTGTAGAATGGAAAATAATTTCTTATTGAGCAATTGATGTAATTATTTACTCATTTCTAAAGAACATTATGGATTTCATTCTGTGTTAGCAATAAACCTCAAAAACTTGAGCAGTACATCATTGCAACTACAATCGCATTTCTACAATTCATATAATATGCCTCGATCAGTTTAAAGTTTGTTCAAATCAGCTTGGTTTTTAAGATTGCAATATTGATGATGAACCACTCAAAAATCAGTAATGCTCCAAAATTGCCTTCCAAAACTTTCAAATTTCTTAATTCTTTAGATCTTTTAAATGTTTAATTGTGTATCTAATTTTATTTACACCATCGTTTTGTTTTAGATCTTAAAATTGGCAGTTTGTTTTATAAATATCGCACAATGGCTTTTTCTGTCTACTTCTTCCCTTTCTACTTTAAAAAACCTCCATTCCATCATCATGAACACGAAATAACTTTTTTTTTATTCTTTTAAGATTAAACTGCAATCATTGAAGCTTGATTTATAATTTATAGATTTTTAAATTTTTTTTTTTGTTAGGTACAGTGAGAGAGAATATTTATGTTTAACCTCAATTTTCTTTAAATTTACTTAAAAATCATCGCAAAAGTTGGATATGGAAAGATTTCACTAGTAACTTTGTTTTAGATTGGAAAATCGCTATACAATAGTGAAATGGTTGAGAAGAAGTTGTGAGAGTGTAGGAGAATTTAATATTATTTTATCTAGACAGCTACTTGTCTCAGACAAAAGATACTAAGTCTTTAAAATAATTTTCTAACATGTTCGATTGATTGAGATACAGAGACAGGATGTGAGAGAGCTTTTGTATGGAAAAGGAAACGAGATTCTTACCTAAGATATTTTAAGACGAAAAAGATATTTTTATTTTTATCTCAAAAATGCACTTTTTGCTAACTTTCTTACATTCAGTTTTTCTTTTTTTTTATTTATATTTTCTACAAAATGATAAAAAAATTCTTTAATTTGTCTTTAGAACCGAATAGCTAAAGATTGGTAAGTTTATTTTTTAACCTTAGAAACCTAAGAATTTACCTAAGATAGTTTTTGGAAGTAAAACATTTACTTCTTTTTGGCTAGCTTGATTTTCAATAAATTTATTTTAAACAAGTTTTATCTGATAAACATTGAATTAGAATTGGTAAATGGCTCAAACTTTTCGATCAGTTATTTGAAATACTAGATTTCCAAGCTGTCTACTAAAGACTATATTGCCTTTCTAGAAAATTGATTCAATCACTTAAATTGTTTGATTGAAAAACAAACCAATCCTCAACTATTCTGAACTTTAATTCTTTTTTTTTTCTTAATTTTTTTTCATTTTTGGAGCAAATGGGATCTTTTTAATAATTATTATCGTTATTTCGTTTACTCTTTTTAATGATTATATATGGAAAAAGGAAGAGAAGAAAAATTTGAAATGCTACCTAATCACGCTAAAATGGATTTATCTTTACTAATTTACTCTTTTTTTCATTAACATCATCGTTATCTCATGAATTAATTTTTCTTTTTTTTTCTAGTTCTTCATTGTTTATATAAAATATGTTAACTCGGTTATGTACACATTTTTTTCTGATTTTATATCATTTTGCGATTTTTTTTTTGTTCTTTCAATTGATTCCAACTTTTGCGATTTGCATCAGTTTGGTGGTGATAATAGTAAATTTTATTACGAAAAATTGCGACACTTTTTTAATGATTGATGGTTAAACCCAAGAAGCCAACTTGTAATTTTATCTCATTGGATCATCAAAGTGTCAACAAATTTTTCGTATGTCGCACCAAATTTTTTTCTTTCTTTTATAATTATATCAAGAGCTATTATCTACCGATTAAATAATTAAATGCTATTTAGAGGCGAAAAAGAGTTTTTAAATGTTCCTTTTTTAACAGCAAGAATTCATTTTTTTGTTCACATTATTTATTTAATTTACGAGAGAAAATTGCTTAACTTGATTTTTTTTCTGCTTTTTTATGATTTTTTTTTCTTCTTCTTCTCTTAAGTACTTAAGTTGATTTTTTTTATCATGTTCATTAGTAACATTAGATTTAATTTCATATTTTTAAATGAATTAATTAAACCAGGGAAGACAAATAAATAAAGTAGAAAAAGGAAATAAACTGAGAAGAGAAATAGATTTGATTGAGTAAGAATTCTAATGAATCTTTCCTGAATCGTTGATCATGCTTCTAAAATTATAGTTCTTTAACTTTACACAAAAGAGTGACAAAAAATATAACACGCGTAGTAGTTCTCTTACTTATTGCTTCATTTACCAATTTTTCCATATGTATATGAAAGCTTATCATTGTAATTTTCTTATGATTTATAAAAAATTTAAATCATTTCATTGTCATGCCATATATATATACTCTTTTTCTTAGTTTGATTTAATAACTTTTCCTTCCGTCATTTAATTAAGTGAAAATACGACCCGAGAGACTTGAAAATAAAATGATTATCCATTATTATCTAGAGCTGCTTGCTAAGAAATCGATTTAGACATAAATCTGCCGAGATTGTATGTTTGGCAAAAAAATTCTAGTTTACGCACAATAATCTATGTTAAAGATCAATTTAAAATCTCATCCATAGAAAACTAGCCAACAGCTCTTTTGACAACCAAGCAGAATTGAAAACTAAATCCTTAAGCTAATATTTGTCATTTATATTCGGCTTGATTACAAAATGGATGCATTTTTAATTTATGTGTCACTCGAGACATAGGAAGAAACATAATTAAGGAAAAGGAGATGTGAGAGGGAGAGAGAGAATTTAGAATGAACATGGAAAGCCTAGTGAAATATTGTGTGTATTCTTTTCTTATCTTTTTTTTATTTAAATGACTAGTTTGTTCATTGTTCTTATGGGAATAATCGTCTTTTATGTCCATATCAATGGAAAGCCTTGAATTTATTTTTTTATGATTTCAAAAAATTTATTTTTAATTCTATCTTACACGTGTGAGTGTATATGTGTGTCTTTAATGTAATTCTACCAACTAAAAGCATTTTACTTTCGTACAAAAAACAGGCTTGAAGAAATATCTTGATGAAAATGATAAGAAAGGAAATTTTCTTTTTTTATCTCATTGTTCATTTATTTCCTTAAAGTGCAAAATACTACAATTTTTTTTTACTTTTATATTCATTCATCATCGTGAAAATGCTACGAAAAGCCACATAGACGAACATTAGAAAGGAATTTAAATTTTTTTGTACTCATTTTTTGATTAAACTTTTTTTATGTTTTTCAATATTTATAAATTTTTCATTTATGCCAATTTTTTAAACTTCTTAAAGTCATAATTAAATTTATCTCACAAGAAACTCAAAGCATTTCCTCATTTTCTTCATTTTTTGACGCATATCGCTCGCTATAATTACATTCTACTAAACTTTTTTTTCCCTTACACTTTTAAAAAAATCATTTTCCTCTCATCTCATCTCGAAATGAAGATCTTTCTCTTATTTAGTCATAATAATTTTTTTTCATTCAAGAAAATTGTTATCACACATTTTTTCATCTTTTTTTCTTAATAATTTTTTTTTTTACTTACATAAAAGTACTTTAGGTAGAAAGAAAAAAGGGATTACAAGATGTGAAAAAATGGGGATAGTAAAGAAACCTTAGAATATCCTTTCGTTGCATTTTTGAAGCTTTTCAATAATTGACTGTGGCTTAAAATTCTTTTTTAGAAAAAAATGACGAGTTTCTCTTTATTAAAAGCAATATTGCTTTACCAGAAACAAATTAGGAATTTATAAATTTTTTGAAAGATTCTATCTACTTTGACTTGAAGGACTAGCTATGAACGAAATGTTTATTCACTACAAACTAAAGATTAACTACAAGAATTTTCAATGTTCAACCCTCAGACATTTCCACTCCTATCATGCTGTAATAACCACATTAGCAACTTGGCAACTAAGTTATTAAACGACACAATCTAATGTGCTGCTCGGGTTAATAGTCATCCACAGTTAATACTTTAAAAGCCGCAAAAATGCAAAAAAAGACTTGACATCAATAGCATACAGAAGCGTTTCATACATAATCTAGCTCCTACAACATCATGAGCAAAAATTTTTATTCAGAAAATATGTAAATGCCACGTTGTTGAAACTTATAGCTCATATTTTGGATGTTCATAATGGCTCATACATTTGAACATAAGAGTGGATTTATCACACATTTTGGAATATATATGCAGCCACAAACTAAAGATTTAGAAAACTTTGAGTATAATTGTCATCTGATGACCAATTAGGCACTGCCTAATTTGAAAAACTTTTTATAGTCAAAACTTTAAGAATAAGTTAGCAAATAGGAGAACTCGTGTCTATCTTCAAAAGCAGGAGCTAGTTTTTTTTTAAAGGAGAAATCAAGAAAATGATTGATTGATGATAGTTGGGATTAGGAGGAAGTTAAATTAATGAATATGTATAAATATAATTTGTCGGTGGTAGTAGCTTTCATTTTCATTCGAAAAACCAAGAAAAATTCATATCCATAAAATAACTTAGATAAAAAATATAACAAATTTTATTCTATTTCCATTGTCATACCCATCATTTGTCATCATCAAAATATTTTTCATATTTATCATGTATATTTCAAGCTATTATCCATGTTATTTTTTTTAAGAAAAGCATCATATAATATTACTTTTTTGTCCTTTAATGTGTTTTCATCAAATAACGTGATTATATGCAAAACACTTTCTTTTTTTTTTCTCTTTAAATATATTTTTAATTCTTATTTATCCTCATCACTTTTATACTTTATTTCCTTTTCTTTATAAATCGACTTTTATGTGTTGAACGTCAAAAAATTGGGTAAAAAAAATTAGTAAAATGGAATTCGAAGCTATAAATTAAAAATCTTACAACATTTTCACTTTGCTTTCTGTACTTCATGTTAAATGTCATTACAAAATGAATTTCTTGATAGCAAGATCGTTTTATACTTTGTAGTTCAAACAGAGTCACCAGACTGCGACTGGCATGCTTGTTTAATATTCACAAATTGGGTCAATTGGATGACGAAAGAGATTTTTTTTGAAATGTTAAAAACTTTTAATTAATATTTTTTATATTCATTGAAAAATATCAATGGACGTTATTTGGATGGTTATGGCTACAAATTTTTTTTTTCAACATACTTATGGAGATTTCATTGCTTTTAGTTATATTTAAATTAATTTGGAACTTTTAAGAAATATTCCAGGATATGTATTTTCATCAAAGCAGTTTTATCAGTAAAACTGGAAACCAAATAAGCAAGAACACAGAATTTCTATGATTTAGATCAGCTATCAAGATAAATCCATTGCAATTCGTGTCATTACGACTAAAAAGACTGTATAAATGTTTAAAGGTGTCTCCCACAATACAAATCATCATGCTTACCATGAATTTTTATTTATGGAGTTTGCCAGAATTTCATTTATACAAGCAATTAAGCCACTGATTTTAACTACATTTTCTTTTTTGACTGTACTTTACTTTATTATTCACTCTCTAACTAAGATGGTTTCAATTTCATATTATTTTCAATTATTTATTTATATTCATTACACAATTTTGGAAATAATACGAAGAGTATTTGAGATAGACGTGAAGAGAGAAGGAAGAGAAATAGAAGAAGGAAAACAATTTTTTCGTTATTTTCTTATTTTATGTCAATCTTATGTGTCCATATGTATTTTCATCTTTTTTCATTACATTATAAATATGGCTTATCAACCTTTAACAACTCAAGGAACAAAATAAAAAGTCTTCGCGTCGTTCTTATACATTATTTTTTATTCTTATTTTATATTTTTTCGGATGTTAAATTGGATTATCGTTATCGAAAAAGGGAACCGAAGGAATAAAATGGTTCAATAGGAACCGATGAAAACTAAAATATCTGTTCTTTTGTGTAACGAGAAAGATATACATTTGAAGCTACATACGCTCTGTCCATTTCTTTGTAATGATGAAAGCTTATTGCAAGTCAGCAAGGTCCATAAGACGATGATGATAATAATTATCTGAAAATAAGAAAATTTTATTAAAATATAGACAATGACTAGAGATGACTATTCATAAAATAATTAGCATATTTCATGGTTATGGACTGTTTACTTATGACATTATTTGTAAACAGCCCATTAAAGACAACACAACATCATGTTCAAATTAGCATTCAGACAAAATATAAATATTCAAAAGAAAATGTATTTTTTAATTAAATTTGAATTCAATAAGACAAAATCATCGTCAAAAAAGGACATTATCGACAGAATTTCAATTTGAATTCAGAATTATTTCTGAATTATTCATCATTTAGAGCTTTATTAAATATTGAAATGGAAGAACTTATTCACCATATCATGAAAGGTTAGTCCATAAAGTAAATTATATTATTAATGCTCATATACTTTAGCGTAAAACTGTACAAACAGATCTCCTTGACAAGCTATTAAAAAGGTATTTGATGAAATAATTCATTGCATCAATAGCTATCGAAAATACCAAAATACTATCAAAGTTAATGATACATTAGAATATTCTTCGCCTATAATGTCAAGGTAAAGAGTTGTTTGTGATGCATGATACTTAAACCATTGGTTCTTTTTAAAATTCTATTTTTATGAAAACTGTAAAAATAGTTTTTAAGCTTTCTATAAAAATGGACTTGATTCAACACATTTTGTTATGCAACAACAAAATAATATACATTTCAATTAAGTCAATGGCCTCATATTTGATACGAAAATTATTACAAACGATAAATCAAGAATCATTATAAATGAAAAAATTCCATTAAATACAAATAAAAAAATAATTAAGCACATCGATATAAAAATAAATTAGCTTTAATTATGTTACATTTCGGTAATCAATCTTTAGTACTGATACATAATTCAAGTAAATTGACGAAATGTCCAATTTATACAGAAGTCAGCCTCTTTCAATAGGTTCAATATCGATTAATCGTTTAAGTTCTTATTATTTCTATCAAATAGATTTCATTAGGTATATCAAATTACAATCCTCGGAAATTAGGTATAACCACTTGAGAATGCTTTCAGCATCACATGAGTTTCTTTTTAAGTAATTTACTACCATTTGTCAGATACATATTGTACACTTCTTCCTTCTTGCTGATACATTTAATTTTCCTACCAAATAAATGTTTGTTCGTAGTTTTACTATGAGCCCTGCTATGAGCTTTTTCGCATTGAGTAAATATGGGGACATGAAAAATCTCATTTAGTTTCCTTTTGGCAATAATAGCAAATAGAAAAATTTTCTAGCAAATTACACGGGAGAAATAGAGATGGAAGCTTTAGACACTCACGAGATTTCCTTAATTTAATGTTTCCATTTCTACAGCCATTTTGAAGCGATGCGAAGACAACACGAAAAGTTTAAGATAATGCGATAGCAAGCTTTATAGAAGCTTTTCCTTAACAGTTGGAAAAAATCATTTTAAAAGTTGAAATATCCAACAACTGTTGATGTAATAACGATTAAGAGGAGCAATAGGCAGACGAGAATGATAATTTTTTTCTATATTTGGTTCAAAATGAAAATAAAAGAACTTTAGTCATTGAGAACAGTTATTTTGAAGCACACTTTCCGCAAAAATATTGTTTTTATAAGTTACTTAAGAAGAATTTTACAGTGAATGGATGTATTGTGCAATTTTGATAAATAGTTTTAATGCTAAATTTATCATTCATGTCAACTGTTGAATACTGTATAAAAAAAGAAAACATCAACAACAACGTATCCAGATAAAGTTTATTAGGAGAAAACTTTCACTAATACAAATGAACTAAAACTTCCTGGATACACTCCTGTATGCTCGTTATGCTTGCCACACACTCGTTCACACACACTAATGAAATGTTTATCTATTTACATAAAATGTGGTATTTATCGTATGAAATATAAAGTATAGTGAGCTTAAAAGTTTATTTAATATATTTTATCTAGCATACCTTATGTTGATTTTATGATGCAATGACCATCACAATCATAGCTCAGAGCGATGAGATTTTGTTGTATCATATTATCTTTCCATCCATATATTTATTTTAATCCATACAACACATTGTATGTATATTTATTTTCGCATTAAAGACATACATAATGCGAATATAAATAGCGATGGCTGATATATCTTTCCTTATGTAAAGTAGTTTTTAGGATTCTTATGTAGCTTATAATAGGAGCTTGCAATACTTCAAATTACGAAAACTGAATTAAGCTAATTTAATGTTGAACTAATTGTGCTGTTCTAATTTTTATTGCATTTTGGAAGGTGTATTTTTCTTCTATACATGATGAAAATCAACAGACACGTCAAATGATGATGAAAAACTTCTTCTACAAAATTTTTCATATTTTGTTCACATTGGATGTAGATATGAAGATAGGAGAGAAAAATAAGATAAAAGTTGATTAATTTACATTTTTATTACATAAGGTTTCTCTTATTTTTTAAATTATATCCACAGTTTTTTCATAGAATCTGTTGTAGATATAGTTTTAAAAATAAACTTGTGCATGCACTATTTTAATATTAATACACTCAATTTATTTCCAATAACAACGAGTTAATATCTTAATAATTTTAAAGTCAAACAATTTACTTTAAATTTTATAGATGAGAGATTTGTTTTCTTTTTTTTTGAATCGTAAAAGAAGTGAATTAAAATGTTATTTAGTATAGAAAGTTGAAAAAGATACAAAAAATACCTGAATTAATACTCGGGGTAGTTACTTTTTAAATATTTTTGTTAATACATTATATAGAGAGACATATAAAGATTAGTTATATTAATACATGAAGATTTTTATAATCCTGGAATCTTGGAATAAATGTATGCGCAACCGATTATACCGACGACCGTAAAACATAACAGCATCATGATTTTTTTCTAAAAGAGAAATTGTTCATTTAATTTGTTTTAAAATCAGTCCAAGGATTTTTTAAAACAATGCAAAATGGTTTTTCCATGATGATATGGCTTGCTTTGTACGAGATTTAATATAAAGTATACATGCACTACTGATTTTTTTAAAGATAACAAAAAAAATAAATATAACCAAAGTCTTCTTGTGCTGCATAATTTTTTAATACGATTAAAAATTTAGATTATAAATTTCTTCTTCCGGTTTTGGTAAAACTTTGAGTTTGCATTTATCATAAAAAAAAAACTTAACTAATTTAGAAAGGGTCGTCGTAAGAAATTTTATACATAAAAATCGTCTTCATGTGCTTATAATCTTAACAGACGATAGGAAAATAAGAAAACTAAAAGCTTTTTGTTACGGTTGCAAATTTATAAAAAAGAAAGAATATTAATGACTAAATTCTCCAAACATTTCGCTTTAAAATGTGAGGTCCTTTCTGTCTTTAAGCAGCCATCACCCTCGCCTGTCTCAATGTCATAACATATTGTTAAATAGTTTCAAAGCTATTCTCTTCAATATATTGCTCAATCACATTAAGCTTTAATAAATTTTACCAACACAAATTACATCCCTTGTCGTTTTTACTATATCACAAAAGTCATTGTAGTTTGAACTTATCGGAAAAGTAAAATACGTTTGTTGAACTCATAATTTACAAAAAAAAAAATCACTAATTAGGAATGGGTTGTGTGCTTTTTACAATACTTATACCTACGCTTCTAATCCCACAATTAAAATCTTATCCTTTTTATGACTTTTTATAATTTAATTAAAATTCTGAACGAATAATGTGAAAAGTTCCATTAATATGTCTGAAAATTGTTTTTAACCTTACTTGTGTCATTAAAATTCAAACTGTATCCAACCAAAAAAAAGTTTCATACGTTAAAAAACTGTTAAAACATGAAAACTGTCTAAAAAGCAAACACTGTTTTTGAATACTGAAATCATCGAGAATTTTAACAAATGAAAGCATTTCACAAGAAAATTCTACAAATAAATCATGTTGATTTTTATGATCTCGGCAAAGTGTTGTTATGCTTTTTCATAATCATCTACCATGTGAATCTTAATATCATTTTAAATATGATTTAAGTTTTTTATGATGATATTTTAAAATATCTTTAAAAGCATGAAACACTAGCCATTCAAACTTAAGCGATCCCGAAAAGATTTTTATGCAATAAATCTTGAGTAATATCCCACCCAGATTCTGATGTTTCTAACGTTTATCATTGAAGGAAGGAACAAGAGGAAACATAAATCTTTTTATGAGAAACTTATAAAAACCAATATGAAGTCTTGAAAATTCAATAAATTTTAAACTTATTCGCATCGTTTGGAATTAGAGTTTCTCAATGTTCCAATGATTTGCACTACAAAAACTGCATTTTACTTAATGTCCTGCAGAAAAAAATCTGAGAACATTAAATTAAGCTTTAAAGTAAATCATGAAATAAATGAAAACGTACGAGAATGAAAAATGTAACAAAATAATAATGAGACAGAACACAGGTAAGCGCATAATTAGTAATGTTAGTTAATTTGTCAGCTCATCTACTGTCAGGTTTTAGTAACAAACACAAAAAAATCTTCCAGCTTGTTAGTATCAAAAAATTACTTCATAAATTAAGTACACACAATCGTTTATTACCTTTTTCATTAACAATGAAGGTACAACAATATTCATGAAAATTATGTCATCTTCTTCGTCTCTTTTTTGTCCGTAACATTATGATGAAGTAATAAATACAAGGAATAAGTAAATACGTTGGTAACAATTGCACATAACACATTTGATGTGATATATAAGGGAACAGGATGATGTATAAAGACAAACATGAAGGTCTTTTGATAATAAATATAATAAAAAATGATTCAGAGAGGAAGAAATGTGATGACATCATAAAAAGCTTTATTTTTTGTCGTTGTATATTTGCTGAGCTGGTAATGTATTAAAAGATGAGTTTGTATAAATACAAGAGCAGTAGCAGTCCTACTATCGTCAGACAAATTATGATATAAACTTTTTTCTGCAAATTCAACAAATAAGAAAATAATA